AGGAACCCTATTACACTGCTGGTGGGAATGTACACTTATACAACCACTTTGGAAAGCAGTCTGGAGGGTCCTTAGAAAGCTAAAGATTGACCTCCCTTACGACCCAGTCATACCACTTCTAGGCATCTACCCTGAACAACAGGAACCAGTATACAAGGATACATGCACCTCCATGTTTATTGTAGCACTGTTCACAATAGCTAGGAAATGGAAACAACCCAGATGCCCAACCACAGATGAATGGATCCAAAAATTGTGGTATCTATACACAATGGAATATTATGCAGCCATTAGAAATGACAAAATAATGGCATTTGCAGGGAAATGGATGGAGCTAGAAGAAATCATGTTGAGCGAGGTAAGCCTTGAGCAAAGAGACAAACGGTACATGGCCTCCCTGATAAGTGGATGTTAAATCCAAAATGTTAGGTGATACGACTTAAGAAACAAAGAACTCCCACTCATCTGGTTGAACCACTACTAAATATCCCCATGCTGCTGATCACATGTATGGTGTATATGTGTACACTGTTATATGTTATAGACCGTGATAGACAATTTGCTCCAGGCAAATTAGAATGAGCTTGTGACTTTAAATGAGCATCATTATTCCACAATACCATGAAATTTGGGAAATTATGTAACCACTTAATCACAATAAAAAAAAATAAAATAAAATGAACTTATAAAAAAAAAAGTAAACTGAATGATGGGAAAGTTCACTGGCAAATCATGGTACTTTTGACCTAAACATTTCCAGTTTTTTTTCCAAAGAGTAAAAAGCACTATCTACTTTGGCTTGAAAAAAAGGGCGGGGGGAACAAAACAAACCTAAATTACTCTCATAAGTGTCTTTTTTGTGTATAAAAATAATGTTCTACTGAAAATCATATGAACACAAACATCTGATAAATAAAAGCAATGGTAACTCATAATATGTGATAAAAAGTTACAACTATCAAAACCAGAATAGTATTGAACCTAGGAACTTGGGGTGTGGAGAGGGGAGAGGAATCACTAAGAATAGGACACAAAAGCCATGTTTAAACAGAAATTTAGTTATGACAATTAAGCTATTTCAAATCTGTCAATAAAAGATGTAATTTGTAGTAATGGTTTTGGGAAACTGTCTAGCTATTTGAAAAAGAATACACCTACATCTCTTTCAAACTCCTTAAAACAATTCTTTTTTACATTTTTTCCACTGTTATTATAAAGTTGATGTATAGTGGGTTACAGTTACATAAGTCAAATAAAAAATGCAGTTCTTTTTGAACAATGTCTCCCCTTCCCTTGCTCTCTCCCAGTTTTTCCCTCCCATCCCCATAAAATGATTCTTGATAGAGAAGCATTTAAACTTTGGAAGGAATTTCAACTGTAAGAAAATATAAATACTTATTTGAAAAATGGATAGGGAAGAATGATGGAAAAAGCATTTATTTATGTATTTATTTATTTACTTATTTGTCAGTCAGGGGCTTGACCTCAGGGCCTATGCTGTCCCTGAGCTCTTTTGTTCAAGGATGGTGCTCTACCACTTTGAGTCACACCACCACTTATGGTTTTCTAGTAGTTAACTGGAGATAAACAGTTTCAACAGACTTTCAAACTGCCCAGGCTGACTTTAAACCGTGACCCTCAGATCTCTGCTTCCTGAGTAGCTAGAATTACAGGTGTGAGCCACTGGGCACCTGGCTTAAATCCTGTATTTAAGATACAAGAAAATTGTTCAAAAATTGTCTTGACAGTTTTAATGCATACTAGGTTAAGGTTTGATGCCTAGCATCCCTTCCTCCTCTCCCTGCCTATCCCCACTCCCCCCACTCGGCCTCAAATACATACCAGGTTCCAACTTGATGATTTTTATCGCAGCTAACTCTCCTGTATGGACATTTCTGGCCTAAAAATATAAAAACAAGAATTTAAGTTAGTTAACTACATAAATATAACTTGGTATCATGTATTAATTACTTATCAACTTGTAACAAAATTTTAAATAAAATAAATATATTTACTTTCCTAGTGAAGGAAAAGAGACAAGCCACAAAATTATTTTTTTTAATTACCTTTAGTCCTACTACTTGTATTTAGGAGTAATTTATAAAGTAGTTTAAGGTTGATGAGCTGTTGATAAAATTTTTTGGCATAATTTCTACAAGTCCTTTCTTTATGCTTATTTTTTCAACAAAAATAGGAGGAACCTATAGCTGGATAGACGAGAGTTAAGCTCTTGTGTTCTATTGTACAATTGTAGTATCTATCTTTTAAAAAGCTCTAAATATGAATCTTCTTTTCTTTGTATCAGTCCTGGTGCTTGAACTTAGGGCCTGGGTGCTGTCCTTGAATGTTTTCTGTTTCTACTTGAGGCTAGCGCTGTTTCTACTTGAGCCACAATTCTACTTCTGGCTCTTTGATGGTTAATTGGGTATGAGTCTCAGGAACTTTGCTACACATGCTGGCTTTGAACATTGATTGTCAGTTCTCCGTCTCCTAAGTAGCTAGGATTACATGCATGAGCCACCAGCAGCAGCAGCAGGCTGAACTTTGTTTTAACCAAAAAATGACAAATGTTTGAGTAGATATGTTTACCCTAACTTAAACAGTAGATAACATATACAGTATCAAAATATCATGTTATTTCATAAATATTGTACATAAATATGTACAATTATCATTATCAATTAGAAGTCTGGGCATTGGTGGCTCACACCTGCAAACCTACTCAGAAGACTAAGATCTGAGGATTTGAGGTTCAAAGCTAATGTGGGCAGGAAAATCCATGAGACTCTTATCTCCAACGAAATGCCAAAAAGCCAGAAATGGTGCTGTGGCTCAAAGTAGTAGAACAGTAGCCTACTTAAGCACAAAATATTAGGGATAGTACTCAGGCCCTGAGTTCAAGCCCCAGGACTGGAACAAAATAAATGAATAAAAGAGTGTGGTGGTACAAGCTTGTAGTCCTAACCTCCTGAGATGGGCGCATCACTTGAGTTTGAAAACTGATATGTAAATCAACTTTGAGTTTAAGGCCAACAAATAAAATTTCCATACAGACAAAAAAAATCTCATAGTTTTTATTTGTATTATAAACCTAATCATAGGAAAATAATATCTAGCTGGGTGCTGGTAGCTCATACCTTTAATCTTAGCCATGATTCAATCTTAGCTCAGATCACAGGAGGCTATGATCTGAGAATCATGGCTTGAAGCCAGCCTTAGTAAAAAAAGTCTAAGACTCCAGTTTCAAGTAACCAGCAAAAAGCTGGGTTGGAGTTGCTCTAGTGGTTGAAGGCTACAAGGCTGAGCAAGAGCAAGAGCAAGGCCTTGAGTTCAAGCCCTATACCTGGCCAAAAAAAAAAAAAAGGAAAGAAAGAAAAATTAAATTATAAAGATCCAAAGATAAAAGTTAACCTTTCAGCATTTATACTTTTCCCATCCCTATCTTTCATATGCACGCATGAGACTGTATGTGAATGACAGATGGGGAGAAGGGGAAAGGAGAAAGAAGAGAGAGAGGGAGAGAGAGAGAGAAGGTTTTCAAGAAAAGAAAACATTCATTTTAATTCCTATTCCCATCCATAACTGGCCCTTTCCCACCAAGATCACATTTAGGGAAATTAGGAATAGAGATCAGCAGAGTTTCATATCATTCTATATTCTTTTCCATTCTTGCCCTTAATAACAACAACAAAAATTGCTTGGCTGAGCATTGGTGGCTTATGTCTATAATACAGAGTGCTAACAGTTTGTCAGTCTATTACAAAACTAAACATAGACCTGGTACCAGTGGTTCATACCTGTAATCCTAGCTACTAGGGAAGTTGAGATCAGAGGATCTCAGTGGAAACCAATCAAGGTAGACAAATCTGTAAGATTCTTATCTCCACCTCACCAGCAAAAAAACAGAAAAGGAGTTGTGGCTCAAGTGGAAGAGTGCCAGCCTTGAGCAAAAAAAAAAAAGTCAGAGCACAAGACCATGAGTTCAAGGCCCAGTAACAGCATAAAACAAAACAAAACAAAAAACTAACATTGTTTAACCATACGATTCAGCAATCATGTCTACACAAAAGTCTGCATACAAGTGCTAATAACAGTCTATGCATCACTGCCAAAACCTGGCATCCCTCAGTAAATGAACTGTTAGACAAAATATGGTACATCTGTATACTGTCATTCTTTCCACTGGAGGCATAGAATTCCATTATATATAGATATAGATATGTATGTGTGTGTATATATATATATATATATATATCACATTTTCTTGATCCATTCATCTACTGGGGGGCATCTGGGTTGGTTCCATATCTTAGCTATGGTAAATAATGCTGCGATAAACATAGTTGTGCTGCTAGCTTTAGTATGGCCTTTGTTTGTGATCACTTGGATTAATGCCCAGAAGTGCTGGGTCATAGGGGAGCTCTATGTAGAGTCTTTTGAGGAACCTCCATACTGCTTTCCAGAGTGGTTGAACAAGTTTACACTCCCACCAACAGTGCAGTAGGGTTCCCTTTCAGCCACATCCCCTCCAGTATCTGTTATTATTCCTGATTATAGCCATTCTCACTGGGGTGAGGTGGAATCTCAATCTTGTTTTGATTTGCATTTCTTTTACCTAATTAAGCCATTTTTATTTCAAGTTATACAGCTGCAATTGTGTGAACTGTGAGTCTTCTCACTGCTATAAAGTTTTTAATGTAACTAAAACTAGTTTATTTGAAGACAAGTCTACATAGCTTATGTGCATTTTCAACACAGGCATGTAAAATATAACTCAATGTGCAATACTTCATAGTAGCTGTGAAGGTGGAAGAGAACTTTACAACCAGTGCATTGGCAAATAAAGAGAATCATCTAAGAGCTGTGGCAGCCAAGATGGTCACCATGAAGAGAAATGAAAAATGTGTATTCCACTTTGCTTTTCTTCTTATTAGGGCCCTCAATCTACTCCCACTTAATTTCTTTATGTACATTTTTAGGATTACAAAACCTTTTATGATGCCAACTGAGGGTGCCATCAGTTTTACAACTCCCTTTTCTCCCAAAATATTATTTAGCATAATAATAGAAAACCCAGATGTCTCAATAGTTGCAAGCTATCTTTAGTTACCAAAAACTGTGTTTTAGGGTCAGAATTATGAATTTTCAGGTTTAAGAATTGTAATTACAGTACAAAAATAGCAACATAGCACCTCTAAAACAAAAAATGCAAAGCAGCTTTATCAGAACAGCTGTGCTTTACTGTTTCTTTATGCAGAAGGATTCATACAATACTTCAATTGATAGGAGCATACTGCTTAAAGTCACAAATCAAAGTATAGCTATCACTGCTGTTCAGGAGGCAACAGAGCAGTAGAAACTTTGCATATATTCCCTTTAAATGTGAAGGGTTTATTAAAGCATATAATGGTACATAAAAAATGCAAAGTAGCCCGTCCACAAAAGTAGTAAACAGTAAGTAATGTCCCAGGCTAGAAAACTTCTATTATTATTATTCTGCTAGGTACCAGTGGCTCCCGAGTTATCCTAACTACTTGGGAGATTAGCAACTACCAGTTTGGGCAGAAAAATGTTTAAGACCTTTTCAATAACAATCTGGATGCTATGGTGCAAGCTTATTATCCTAGCCACCCTCAGAGAGCCTAATATAGCTGGATCACAAGATAATCAGCAAAATATTGGGATAGAGAGAGGCTTGGCTTGGTGGAAAGGGTGCCTGCTGATTAGCAAGGGACAGGACTCAAGTTCAAACTCTACTACTGCAAAAAAACAAACAAAAAAACCCTAACCAAACAAAACCCTTCTATATTTGATGAGGGTACATTATTTCAATTGTTTCATTCAGATAGTAAATATTACTGAATACTGACAACATGCTAGGCACTGTTGTTGATATTGGGATGAAACAAAACAAGAGCTTTTATATTTATAGGTTCATTAAGAAGTAAACAGTTGTTTAGGTCTGCTGTGTCTCTGTTGAGTTTTTGCTGAGTTGAACTACCCAATGGGGAAAGTGGTGTGTTAAAGTCACCAACAATCAATGTCTTTGGATCTATGTGTGATTTTAGGGAAAGTAGTGGTGCTTTAGAATTGTTTGTTATATACTCCTGTAGGAGAGATCCTCTTATTAGTATGTAGTGTCCATCTGTATCTCTTCTCACTAATTTTAATTTGAAGTCTATTTTATCTGAAATTAAGATTGTTACTCCAGCCTGTTTATTTGCTTGGTAGATTTTATTACAGCCTTTCACTTTCACAGTATGTTTGTTTTTTTTGTGGGGAAGGTGTGTCTCTTGAAGACAGCAGATAGATGGATCCTGTTTTGTTGATCCAACTAGAGATTTTATATCATTCTATGTCATGATTGGAGAGTTAAGACCATTAATATTGAGAGTTAGGACTGAGAGATGTTTGAGAGTTCCTGTCATGTTATCTACCTTCTTTGGGGGCTGTTTCTCTGCCTTCATCATGTTCTAGTTGGTTCTTTATGTGTAGGAAATCTTTAAGTACCTTTTGTAGGGCTGGCTTCGTGGAGACATATTGTTTCAGTTTTTCTTTGCTGTGGAAGGTTTTTACTTTTCCCTCTGTTATAAAGGAGAGTTTAGCTGGCTACACTATTCTTGGTTGATAATTGTCTTCAAATACCCCTCAGTAGATGAGTGGATCAAAAAAATGTACATATACACAATGGAATTCTGTGCTTCCATCAGAAAGAACACTGCCCCATTTGTTAGGAAATGGAAAGACTTGGAAAAAAATCTTATTAATTGAAGTTATCCAGTCCCAAAGAAATTTAGGTCCCATAGTTTCCATTATTTGCAATAATTAGTATACATATAGGATAATCTTATCAGTTGAGCTAAAAAGCTCAAAAAACATGTACAAATGTCCATATAAGAT